ATACAACTGAGAGCTTGAATTAATGATAACACAGCTTTTTAAAAATATTTAGTGTTAGTGTTTTTTTAGTGTTTCATTTTGGACGGGTTGATAAATCTTCACTGCCAAACAACTCCGTAATTCCTCATCAAGATCTAACAATTAAGTAGCAAAAAATAAAATGTTTTTAGGTAAGCTTTAACATAATTTACATAGAATTCTTTCGACTGTTATGATGAATACCTGACTGGATGCACCCCGATGAATTTCTTCGTTGTTTTGGTTTCCATCTGCAATATAGTACAAACACATAAACACGTTTCATTATATATAACATCTGAGAAATATTCCAAAAAATCTCAGATAAGGTACTACAGTAAAAAGACAGAAGAGTGAATACTTTTCAATGCACTTGAACACTGAGGTGAAAGCGTGCCACTGTCGACAGCCAACCTGTCCGGCCAGGATCATTTGCTTATTCAAACATGCTAACATATGTAGTCTCTAAAGCAGCTGAGTAATTAGCTCGAGTAGTAGCTTAATTTTCAAGAGGATTTTTTGATTTCTTTTCTTCAATCTTTAACAAAAGCCTAGACAAGGTGTGTGGCACACCGTTAGTGCCAGTTATTTCTTACAAAGTAGTAACTGCGACTCAAACGACAGCTGACCTGGTTCCCTCTTGTTTTTGCGCGAATCTCACAAATGTTAAAAAATCTGGACAGTTGCCTTAAAAAAATAATTTTTGGAATGGGTGTTTGGTTCTTTGAGCTATGAGCAGAAGTAGAAGTACTGCTTTCCTGAATTTAAATAGTGGTTTGTAAGCTCAAGATGACAACTAGGTTGGGGAAAGGCTATTAATTGCAAAGGAAAAACCGGAATGGCAACAAATAATACATTTTTCTTTAGGCTTTAAAATCACATCAGGCTTTTTTGTCTCTACCACCGGAAACGGAAGTTTCATTTTTTATACTTCCCACTAACGCGTCAGAATAAAAAAAGGGAAGAAGAAATAATGCGTAGAGATATGTCCATTTAACTGTCGCAACATTCTAGACAATTTTTTGGAGCAGTGCTTTGAACATTTTTTTTAATACTTGAGCTTCTCTAATCTCTAGTATATCATATTTTAGTTTAGTTAAGGTTTAAGTTTTAATTCTCAAAGATCCTCCATTTCCGCTACTAAAAAAGAAGGGAACAATTAGAAATGCAGTACTTCTTTTTTTACTCGATTTATATCAGTTTATCACCTTTACGAACAAAAAATTGTCAACTACGATAGAGACAATTGATAGTGAACGAACAAAAAAAAAAAAGTCAAAATCAACTTATTTAATGGGAAAGATGATTAATTAACAAAAAAAAAAACAGTAACCGAACATGTGTTCATATAATAATTAAAACCACCAAGGACTATAATTCACCTGGGCTTGAAGCATTCTTGCACAGCGGAAATGTTTATTTCGGAGAGCCAAGTCTTCGGCCGTATGACCCATACAGTTTTTGAGCTGTATAGCCGATAATCCCCATGACTGAAACAACAGCAGCATAAGCGTAATTTGTTAGATCAGTGCAATAGTTGACAGCTGAAAAATGCAAAGAAAAATAGTATAGATTTATACTGCATTCAACAGTACGACGTTACGCTAGGGCAAATCTTTAATACTTGACGATGAAAAAACTTTGATTTTCACACATAGTTAATCTTTATTATTTATTAAGAAAAAAGGTGTTTAAAACAGCTATCTCTTTGTTTTCTACTCTGTCGTGCAGTAATTTCTTAAAAAATGGATCTGTTTAAATCATTGTAGACGCAGTGCAAATTTAGTCTTAGAAGTGTGTGTGTGTGTGTCTTAAGTCTTTGAGTCTTAAGCTTAGCCTAAGCCTGGCAGTGCTTTATTTTAAAGTTGCATTCTTAAGGGGTTTTTTTCTAAACTACATCTCCTTGTTAAAAAAAAAAAAAAAAACAACCCTTGACAGCGTCATAGCCATCCGATCTGTTAATTCTTCACGGCCCTTCAACGCTGCATACATCAATGCTGTATTACCCAACCGGTCTTGTAACATCAAATTACATTCCTTCTAAGAAATTATTAAATTTTTTTTCGAGACTGTTGTATGAGCTTTAATAATCATTTGACTGAAAAGACCACAGAAGATTGTAATGAAAGATTTATGAGCTCAAGAAACTACCTTGTTGATTAATAGTAAACCTTCTTCGGTACAGTCATCCAAAATGCATGCGTACATCAGTGCTGTTCTTCTGTCTCGTTTGTCTTGTACATTAATGTCAATACCATTATCAGCCAACAATTTGACATATTTCAACTGCAAAATTAAAAAACGTTGTTGTTCAAATTACAGCTTATAATTTGAATATTTCTTACTCAGGCAATTTATCACGCATTTTAATCTTAAACAGATAACTTTTTTTTCGACTATTATCAATTGGACTAGTTGTTTTAACCATTACCACTTCGTTAATAAATTTCCGAATAATAACAGACATATACAAATTATTGCTTTTTTTTTTCAATAACACATAGCTGCAGACATAACCTCATTTGATTGATTCGTTTGACAACAAAATTCTCTTTTAAAAATCACTAAAAAATTCACTTTTTTAGACTAGACGTATCTATTCAGTGGCTAAAATCAGAATGGAAAAAATTATTATTATCTGATTTATATACAGTTCTAAAAAGTTTTATTATTAAATTTGGCAAAAAAAAGCCATCAAACTTAAAATGTTGATTGAAGACCACTGTTTTTATGTACAGTCATTTATCTGCCAAAGTTGTTGCACAGAAAAAGCAGCAGTTTTGAGATTGGCGTTATAGATGCTTGATAAAAACTCGTTGGCAAAAAAATTACTGAGGCTTCAAACAGGTTACCAAATCTTTGTCAAGAAAAAAAAAGCTAATGATCCTCATGAGATTTAAAATTGGTATGATTTCAAAGCTCTTTTAATCTGAAGTAGTCTGTAACTGGTAACTTCCATAAAAATGCCAAAAAAAAGTTAAAAGAGAGAAAGTTTAAGAACAGAACTTGCTCTATTTGATCTTCACTACCTTTTCCCGTTGCTTCAACAAACAGTATTCTCCAAAAAATTTTTTCACATCTAAAGAAAAGCAAAAAAAATTCAAAGGCAAAAAAGAAGAATAAAAACAAAAGTCTGAGACCATTATTCTTATTTTTTTATTATTTTTTAGTTTCTTTCGTCTTTTTAAACAGATATCAAGACGACATTTCTAAGCGTCTTTGATAGCTTCTGACGGCAGTAATGCCTTAGCTCTTTGCAATTTTCCAAATTTACTGTTTTTTCCTTGTTTTTAAATCAGCTTTCAATTCAATATTAGGGAAACCAAAGAACTAAAATATTTTTTGCTGCAAACTATCTTTTTCTGCTAAAAAAGAAAAAGAGGATAAGAACAGAATAAAAACAGGAACAGCAACATTGTTTTCAAAATTCGGTCTGCTGAACGAAAACAATTCTTTAATATAATTTTCTGAAACATTTTTTAGTGCCACTTTCGTTTCCAACTTCTTTGAAATACCCTAGTTTTTGTTTCACTTCCCACAAAACAGTGCTTTTTGGCAGAGGACAGTTTTTGGCGTAAAATTAAAGCAGATAGAAAATCCAAAAAAAATATACGTCATAAGAACGACAAAAGAAATGATTGTTCCTTTTTTCTCATTAGAAATACTGACATTTTCAAGCTTATTTTTATTTTTTTTTTATTCCACATAATTTTAAATATTTAAAGAAAAAACATTTCTCAACAACATAACAAAAGGACTGAAAACTTATATCGAATGCGCAATTTTAACAACAGAATTTTTGATCAGCTTTTTCTGAAAACTTCTTCTTTAATGCAAAGTTATTTTTAGAAAAATATTTTTTTAACAGAAATCTTATTAATATAAGTGATCGAAAAATAATTTGGAGCGCCATCACTAAGGAAAGAAGCAAATTTTATGACAACAAATAATAAAGTGTCAAAAAGATCGCATTTATTAGCAATGGGAAGGATATTCCTTGAAGAAAGGAGTATTTATTTTTAAACTTTCTTTTTTTACAAAATTTGAACAAAATTGAGCAGAAAAAGTCTAATAAAATAAATAAATAAATAAATAAACGAACAGACAAATAAGAAGAAGTTGAGTAGGCAAGAAGAGAAGCTAACTTTTTTCAAGAAAAAATTTAATTCTGTTTCAAATATTTTTCACTGGCAAAGCCTGTTACCATCCCTACTTCTCCCCGTCTTTTTCACTTCAACTTTATTATCTTTTTCTGGGTGTTAAAACTGATTTTCAAGCAACAAGAACTCGCAAAAAAACTGACATTCAAAGAACAAATTATGCGTCATAAATATGGGCTCAAATTATTCGCTTAAATACATATACTGTGCACACTTAAACAGCAAATAAATCAATGACAGTGTTATATAATGCTTAAGCGACTAAAATTGAAAAGAAACAAGTAAAAAGTGGGAAAGATGCAGACAATATTCAGCAGTTTTCTACTGTATTGTTTCAATCAAAAATTTTATCACTAAATAATATAAAATTCTGTTAGTGTAACATAAAAAAAGATTGTAGAATCAGTTCAAGATATTCTGCTCTCTTTTTTCTTGAAACATTTTTGTTTCACAACTGAGAGAGTTCAAACTCCTCAAACTTTCTTCTAAAAGAAACCCAATTTCTCGTTAAATTACCAAACTGAGTTGCTTTCGTCTATCAAAAGAACAGTGCTACAAAATTGATTAAGGAAACTTTTTTAGCTATTTAGAGCAATGAAAATAAAAAAGAAAGAATTAATCATCTTACCCGATTATTTTCTTTGGACAAATATTTGATTGCCGATATCATTAAACTTTCATATTCCTTATTCAATTCATTAATGTTGAATGCCTGAAATGATTACTAATTATTGGCTATTTTTGGTTTACAGCCACCATTCTTCTGTATCAACAATTACTGCTATTCTCAAAATTTGCCAAAAGTAGACAGAGCAACAAGTTTTGATATAAAAATAAAAAAAAATTTCTTGTATTTAGTTCCCTTCCTTTCCTGACATTCAGACATTGCCCGGAGTAATTGTTATTCACTAAAAC